AAAAACAGAATCGCCAGTTTTACGCTGATGTAATAAAAAAGCTCTTGTCATGGTATGTAAAATGTGTCCGACGAGATGGGGATTACGTGGAAAAGTAAAGTCAGGTCTTCACAAACATGGAAATTTTAAATTTCAAACAAGAAATTCCATTTTGACAATTCGCAGGATGAAGCCGTCCTATGACCTCCCCAGCGCGCGTCAATGTAACGTAAACCGATGTAAACTGAACACGTGTTAATTTAACAATCAGTAGGGACTTCATGACAGTCATAATCATTGCACGAATCTTTTTCTACTTTACATTTTGAAGAGGAAACATGTGGGTAATTCTACGAATTTTCAGTCGGTAGCGTTTTATTTTGAAAATGTGCGATAAAAAATCTCATGTTTTACCTGATGATGTGGAAAACAAGTGTTTTTAATCAGCTCGATTGTAAAATTCAACATATTGAGCTTTATTTTCAGCTTTTCCTGTTAACCGTCACCATCATGAGTGTTAGGTTGCAATGTTTACAGTCTCATAACTTTTTTCTGTTCTGATAATTTGTTCGGATTTGTGGACTAAATACATCAAAAATACTTGTTGTCGAATAAACAATGTAATTGATTTTTTTTTTTTTATCAGAAATGTATTTTCCACTCGGAATATTTCGGTAATATGCTATCATTAAGTTTTGACGTCACGACCGGCGCGGCTGTTTTTGTTTGTCAGACCGGCTGCTAATTATTTACCGTTAATACATGTCCCAGAGACCAATATTAACGGTGTTCAATATGAGCCTTTTTTATCGGTAGTGACGACAAATGAATTGTTTTTATCACCACGAATATTTCTCAGTGTAGGGGCGGACATAATCGCTGTAAAACCGATTGATTCCGTTCAGTGAAGTGCTCACATCAAAATAAGATTGTGCAGTCATTGCCGGAATTTAGAAGATTCTGGAAGAATTAAAAAGGAAAATTCACTCAGTGAGACTGTTTTACGCAAGAGATACAGCCATCAAAATACATTTTCTACGGGTGAATTCTCTGGAAATTCACGACGGGCAAATCGAACAAGTCTAAAATACACTCCTTATAGAGCGCACCCTGCGTGGTTTGGGACACGCTTTTTCAAATCTACCAACAGTCAGATCTGCCCGGAGAAAGCCCCAACCTAAATAAAATTAATTTACAACATAGAGAGAAAAAAGGAGGTATTTGCATTTCGGGTATCTTGGAATTTTTTTGATGACGTAGGTCGGTACAGCAACGTTTATCATCGATTTTCGAAATGGTGTTATTTATGGAAAAAAGTCATTCTATAAAAAGTGCTTGAAATTATATCATGAGTTGATTTAAGTAAAAAAAATCGGACATTATGGTCCGTTTTTCATATTTCGAATTCCGGACTTCGCTGGCCAGGTTGTACCGACCTACGTCACAGGGTAAACAAACCTCAAGATGCGAACACCTTTTTTTTCTCTATGAATTTACTGTCCTTCAAAATTAGCTTTCCGTGTGATTTTGCTAGAAATGGACCTTGGCCCCTAGCCCCCCCAAATTTTAGCGTATCCCAAAATCGTTTGACGTGCATAAGGATACCATAGTTATGGCGTTTTCTGAAAATTTTGAATGAAATCGAACGGATAGATTCTGAGATATCGCTGTAGACAGATTTGGGGGACGCTGGACGGATGGACACACATTTTTTCAAGTATGGTTATTTTGACTCCTGGGACCTTAAAACGCCTAGAAATGATGAAATTTCAACTTTTTTCCCCCTTGGAGGATGACAATACTTTTTCTACCATAGGGTAAAGCGAGAAAGTAAGAACCTAGCGAACTGTTACGCTCTCCTTGCGAAAGATTTTAGTTGATGAAATGCTTTTGATTTTGTGAAAAGAGGAAAAAATGATGCCTTGTGTTGGAATTGTTCAGCCAACGTGCGTTAAAAAACAGCATAAAGCAGGAAATATCAATGAAGAGGGAAAAATCTCACATACAAGCACAATTTTTCCTCAAAGAGATACGCTGTTTTGGTGCAACCTAGTAACGACCATTCAGGATGGCAACTGCACACGCGTTTCGGCCTTATTGGCAGTGGCGAACATCGACGTACATCGATATTTCCATTGAAGCTATGGTAAAGAATCGATTATTAAGGCGTTCGTTGCGAACACCCTGATAATCGATCCTTTTTCACAGGTTGAAATGGCAGATCAATCGATATATCGCAGGGTACACCACGCGGCCACGCTACTGCTTATGGGGCCAATCCGTAGTGCAGTGCAGTGTCGTTGCTAGTGTTGCAGTGAACAGCGTATCTCTTAGAAGGAAAATTTTGCCTGTGTGTGAACTTTTTCTTTCTGAATTGATATTTTCAGCTATGTGCTGATTTTTAACGCTCGTTGGCTGAAAAAATCCTGACATACTGTCTTATGATCCGTGCGTCTACCGCAATCGGTTTGTGAAAAAATAATGATTGACATCTATGGAAATCATGTAATAGAAAAATGTAGTAGAATCATTTGTTCTCTCAGATTTTTTACTCCTCTGCCTGTGCGAACCTACTCGGCGGTGACTGTGAACAACTTTAAATAGCGTGTTACAAACTACGCAGATCGCGTGCTACGAAAACGATTTCACCCTTTTTCCACGCGCCATTCATGATTTTCGTGAGATTTTACCAGTGGCGTGGCGTGCATTGTGATGTATCGATTGATTTGCCTTTTAAATCTATGGAAAAGGATCGATAAACAGGGTGTTTGCAACGAACACCTTAATAATCGATTCTTTACCACAGCTTCAAATGGGGAAATATCGATAATCGACCATTCACGCCTTGCCACCAGATTTTACCCGTACAGAGTATATTTATTTGGCTTATTTGTTGTGTGTGACCGACCTGTTGAACATTTTTGTGCGTCGGGAATGTCAAGCTAGTTTTTTTAGCACAAATTGCTACTTTCTGGTGGAAAAAACTCAAGCCCCTATTTTTCTTCGTCCTTTTTTTCAATGAGATTAAATAAAATGACTCTAAAAATCAAACGGGCTTATTCATCCATTTCTCTCGCTGGCAGATCAAAATAATCACCGTGACGATAGTGACAATTCTCTGCAAGGATTTATCTTTTACCAAAAAAAGAAAAAAAGGGGGGAAAAGCTTGGTAAAAAAGGCATTGGTATTAAATATTTAAGCCTGATGCTATACACTATGCAGAGATAGAAACACAAACGCTAGAGCACGACAAAATTAAGTTGAATATTTTATGTCTGGGGGGTCAAATTGGACAATTTTCTTAGAATTGTCCAGGTATGTGAATGCATATACGAGGGTTGTTTAGCATGTACGTTTACAGAGTTAACGCTGAAAGTTCGGTTCACTTTTGTTCGAATACAACTAATTTTAAAAGAAACACAGTCATTCCTGCAATTTCCTAGCGAGTTAATGCAGGGCCGGATTTACCTACTTGCCGCCCATGGGCCGCCTGTATTTAGCCGCCCCCTTCTCATTCGTTTTGAAACATCAATAAAAAACCATCAAGTGAGCGTGCCGGACAGGGAGGGATGCATAAGACGCGTTCACTTGTGTTGGGCACATTTTTTGTGAAAGCCGTGTCAACTTTAGCAAAATTTCACGGAACTTAGCACGAAATTTAAGTTCCGTAAACTTATCTCAATATGGACAAGGCCTTCCATCTAAAAGAAATGTACGAAAAAATTATAAAAGAACAGATAAAATGTGGTTTTAAAATTTTAACTTTCGCCGCCACGCCGTGCCGACCGCACTGTGATTGGCTCAACGCGTGAAGTATTCGTACAGTCTTATAGGCGCTATGCGTTTCTCGTCGACCGCTGCCGACCGCAGTGTCTCGCAATGCGTGAAGTATTCATGCAGTCTTGTAGGCGCTAATATGTGTCACATGCCGACCGCCGTGCCAAGGGTTTCTCCTTCTCATTTCAAGTCCTCGCCATCACTGCTCTCTGCACCGAGCCACTCCAGGCCAAATTGCGTGTATGGTTTCTCTCTTAACTCAACTAATTAAACGTGCCGTCTCTTGTATCACCGAAAGACGACAAAATGCAAAATTTGCTGCCCCCCTAAATTTGCCCCTAAAATGTGGCCACCCCCTAAATCCGGCCCTGCGCGTTCTTCCTCGGTTTATATGACGTTCAACCATTTTTAAGCCACGATTTTGCGATTAGCGATAGATTTAGCGCTCACAGCAACTCACTTGCTGATATGGCGCTCCGGGAAAATTTGGACCCGCGAGAAAAGGAGATTGGTTCAGAAAAATCCACTTTTCTAGAGTTCTATCAAACGAAATTTAAAATCTATAGCGCGTTTGAGAGCTGAGAATGCTGGTTTTTCAACGTTTTTTACAGATTTTCTTTGTCTATCTTAATTTAGGAGATATTGGATAGGTCAACTCACTTTCTGGACGATCCTCGTAATGGAGATGTTGCATGAGGGACTTGCGATTTGACGATTGATTCTTATGTAAAAGTTCGCGAGAAACACGATGGTGCCACTGGTTTTCTCTGAAATCAACTCCCAAGTTCAAAAAAAGCTCTCAAGTTGAAGCTAAAATGGAGGGGATATTCCACCCAACCCTGAGAGTCCACCTTTACATCAAAACAAACTCTCCATTTAAAGATAGGGAGCAAATACATTTGCAGGGTTGCCGTGTTTTCAGTTTTGGAGTCCCCAAATAAAGTGGCAGCCCTGTCAATGTATTTGCTCCCTATCTTTGCATGGAGAGTTTGTTTTGATGTAGACAAGGACTCTCAGGATAGCTTGGGATATTCCCTCCATTTTGGCCTCACTTTGAGAGCTTTTTTTGAGCTTAGGAGATGATTTCACAGAAAACAAGTGGCACCATCGTGTTTTTCGCGAACTCAAAGATAAGAATCAACAGTCAAATTGCAAATTCCTCACACATGCAACATCTCCATTGTATCTTGTCTAATGGTCCATTTTATTGTTTTTGTCACAGGAACGAATCGGGGAAACGAAGATGGCTCGCACGAAGGTGAGTTTTGAGTGGAATAAGACTTCCTTTCTAAAAGAGATATTATATCCAGATACAAATGATGTTCCTCCGCCGACGTAAGGGCATACCTTCAATTCTACATTAGCCCCGCCGGGAACTAATATTGGACGTATTTCTACCAAACAGAACTATGTGCAGGTGGGAGATAGGGTATGCTCGTACTTGAGGGTCGTAAGAACGAATGGGAAATATAAAGCGCCAGTGACGTCAGCAGCGACGACTGAGCCGAAAGGGGGGCGATCCGCGGCATTAACTCATGAGCCCTGTCCACAACGCTCTAGACACGTGCCCACGGCTCATGAGCTCTGCACATACTGCCGTGCTAAGGAAAAACGTCGCATGAAAATTCGATAGTTGCTTAATTTCCTTCGATACAATGTTTATTTTTGAGGAAAGTTATGAATATTATTCCGAGAAATTTTCATAGAGTACAATAGAGTCGCAAAGTACTGGATCGCCGATGAAGTCACTTTTCGAGGCTGTTTTGTCCAGTTCTCCGGAGACTAGTGTGCGGCGACTAGCGATGACGCATACGCAGAGACTCGCGCTCAGCGCTCCCCACTCCCGACAGTCCCGACTCGGCCATACTCGGCTCCGTTCGTCGGCTAGACACACACTGAACCAGCTAAAATAAGTAGGCCGGTAATAAGTCTGAAATTGAGTCCATATATGAATATTATCTCGGAGTAACATACATTAATGGATTCATTATGGCTTTGAATATCTATTTCAAGCAAAATTTGCACAAATTAATACCGATGGAATTAAAAAAAGTCGAAAAAACACAAGCAGTCGTTGATTTCTCCATAAGCCACCGTGTAAAAAAATGCCGGTTGGTTCACACTTGGTATAAGTCAGAAATTAAATCCCAATATGAATACTATCCAGGAGTAATATACATCAATGGATTCATTATGGCTTTGACTACCTTTAAATAGCAAAATTTGCAAAAATTAATGCTGATTGAATTATAAAATACCTAAAAAACACAAGCAGTTCTTGATTTCTCCATTAGCCGCCGTGTTACAAAATGCCGTTGGGTTCACAAATGGTTCACTATTTTCGGAGCACACGTGGCTCGGAAACGCCTGTTCATGGATTGGCTTCATCGCCGCTCCAGTACTTTGCGACTCTATTGTACTCTATGGAAATTTTTCAAGAACTTTAGGTAAAATGGGCGAACAAAATTTTCCAAAAAAGTGGAAGAAAAATATTTTACAAATTTTCCCGAAAAATCGTGATTTACCTAGGCAACGCCTAAAGGATCATACGGCGTTCCTCCTTAGCACGGCAGTATAGTTGGCACATGGTTCCGTTTGCTGAATTGAAGAAGCTAGATTTTACATTCTGTCAAACGGAACTGAGCGGTCTATCGTTCATTTTCTGGCTAAAATTCAAAATCCGCCCGGTAATTCGACTTAATCGATACGATAATATCGCAAAAAAGTTCGACCTCGCCAGAACTCGTGACGAATCACTGCTTCAATCAAAGCCGATTTATACTTGCTTTTAGCAGTGTTGAACTTCCAGCCTCCGAGATCTGATTGATACTCCGCAGCCTGTGACAATATATACAATGCTAAAACATATAACACAGTGGGTAAAAGGCTAATTTTCACGTGAATACTACCAAATCGTCTCGGCTGAAAACTCAGCCTTCCTCAGCTGGATAAAACAGTAAAACAATTTTAAAAATCTAAAACGTACCTAGTACTTGGCTGTACCTCTCAAAGCAAGCACAATGTTGTTATCAACATTGGGAAATAATTGGAACCTCAACATTGGGAATAGCAATAACCGCACCGTTCTCGCTTTGAAAGGCACAGCTAAGCACTACGTTTGAGATTTTTTAAAAGAGTTCACTGTTTTATCCAACGAAGGAAGGCTGGGTTTTCAGCCGAAACGTTTTGGTAGTACACTGAAAAAAGAATCTCGGTGTATTTACCAAGAAAAGGGTAAAATTACCAAGAATTCAAGGTTCTATTTGATCCCAGTTTTTTCTAGGTAAAATTACCATTTATGGAATTGGTAATTGGAATTGATTACCAATAAAAGTGGTATTCTTACCCGAAAAAAACAGTAAAAACCGGTTTTTAGGTAAGCTTACCAGTCTGTCTTGGTAAAATTACAAATAATTGGTAAAAAAGTGAGGTGGTAAAGGGACCAACGGACCTTGGTAAAAACGCCGAGAATTTTTTTTCAGTGCGCTGTGTAATTTGTTATATTATTGCTTCCAGTCTCCTTTTTTTGTGTGGCTCCACTCTGTTTAATGTATTTCTTGCCTAGTTGAGAGAGTGTGCGACAGTTCAAGACCCTCGGATGTGAAAAGCTGCCACGCTTACTGCAACTCCTTGTGGGGCAGGGTCTCCTTGTTTGGCTGGCCATGGTCCAAGGGAATGTGCTATAAAAGCGACTGCATTTGCAAATTCAACCATTTGGAACTGCACGAATATGCAGATCCGTGCACTCACAGGTCTGTTTGGGGGTCGCTCAGAAGCAACAAAAAGATCGCCCGTCGAGCAATTGAGGTATAAATTAATCGGTCTCTTAAAAATATGGACAAGATATAAAAAGAACTGTTAAAGCCCTGGATAGACGATCAAATTCCGAACCAATTCCGATCAAAGTAGACATGCTGCTGACTGGTGGTCACCATCTACCATCAAATTTTGACGGGCCGCACTTTTTTGTTCAAAGTAAGATCAGAACGGAGTGCCACCATTCATCATTTCCTGCCACAGGAAACATTTCTGCCAAGTTTTCATTTTAAAATGAAGCAAATTAATGAGTTTAAGACTGATGACTCCCGACACTTTGATGCTACTTTGATCGGGATTGGTTCGGGAATTTGATCGTCTCTCCAGGGCTTTAAAGAAAATAAGACGACGGTTCCAACGTTAAGACGTTGGACAGCGTTCATCTTAGCACCTCGTCAATTCATTCGTTTTTTTTTGTGTTTTTTTTGTTGTTGTTGTTGTTTGTTTTTTTTTAAAATTATTATTAGTAATCGAATGTCTTGGTTCAAATGTGAAAGTTGTTCAGCGCGGACGGAGGAGAGCGCTGCAAGACGCTGTTGAACAAGACGTGGAGCGTTACATAGGAAAGAAACATATGTACAAGAAACGTTATGTCATCATAGAGTAAAATATAGGGGTCATTTTATGGAGTGAACGGGTACTTTGTACCCGAAGATTTTTTTAGCACTGCGACGACAAATGTTTGAATGAACTTTGAAGCAGTCATTAAAAAATAATAGGTACGTTGCAAGACAAGACTACCAGGATTATATAAAGTGGACAAGATGGGAGAAATAAGGTAGAAATAGTAACTAAAAAACTAAGAACGCCGCACAGTGTATCGAGTCCATGGGAGAGGTCCGACAAAATTTGGAAAATTTAAAAGCTAATAACTCTGTTTGCAAAAAACATTGAGATTTTAGAAGTGGCTCCATTGGTTCCCTCGTAAAATTTTTTTCTGTAAGCACCCCTTCAAATTTGAAATGTGACGAAATAAACATCAAAACTTGCAGTTTTAGTCAAAAAATTCATGTTCGACCTCACTGATAGACTCGATCCACCTTGCGTTGGTATCTTCCACTCGTTTTTAATTCAATTTCTTCAAAAAAACTAGCAGGCACTTCCTCTTCCAAGTATGTATTCAGCAGATGGGTGGTTTTTATACGAGGATTAAGAATAAACAAGTGGTTAGAAATGAAAACAAGTTGGTTTTTGCAATCGCTAGCGATAGCAATATTCGTCATGGGAACTTTAGCTTCTGGGATATGAAAATGTTAAGGTACAGTTCGTTTGCAGTATCTTCAGAATTGAAGGGGCTATGTAATTTTGTGTCAACATCTCTTTTTTAACATTTTTAATTTTTTTTTCTTTGCATACAAGAAAGCTGTTATTTACCAATTATTTATTTTCGTTGGATTATACATGGTTTTCGGAAGTTAACGCATTTAACTTTCAGTTTCGCTTTTTCGGCGTAAAGTATGATATTTGCCCGAATACGCATCATAAGTGACCTATGTGCCTCCTAGGTTGCCATTTTTTCATTCAAATAGATGTAACTGAAATGTTTGATGTGCACTATACTACTTTCATGTCATTGCTTTATTTATTTTTTGAAAAAAGAAAATACCATCATTAATTTGGGCGAACAGAGAAAATATACATCAATATTTGGGTCAACATCTCCCTGATTATATAACGGATGAATATATTAGTATTTCTGTATCAAAAAACTTAGCTTTTGTCTTCAGAGATACACTGATTCTAGTCCAAGGCAATTTGTTTTATTGAAAAGACAAAAAAACAAAAAATAAAAAAAAAAAAAAAACAACTGAAATGTTAGACATACTATTTTCATGTCTTTCTATTTGTATCAATAGGTACATCTTGCTTAACTTACGAACGTTGAATGCAAATAAACTTCATTGAAAAAAAAAATAACGTCATTAATTTGGGGAAACATGTGGCTAATTATATGAAGGAGATATATTCCAGTATTTTTGTTTAACATATGAACTCACGAGAAAATGTTTGTACATTTATCATCTAGTATTAATTATTTTTTGATGATTGGTCTAAAACATTCAATACAACCATTAAAAATTAACACCCATCGCCGGGTATCGAACTCCCGATCATCTATTGCCCGCACCTTAGCAAGAAATGGGGCGCCTCAGTCAAGTAGGCTATCTCAGAGCCGCAGCAAATCGAGTAAAAATAGCATTTAAAAGACTCGGACGATGGGCGGGACTTATCACAAGAGTTGTCCTTGAGCGATTCGCGTCTTCGTAGCCTCTGAGATATGAGAAAAAGAGCTAACTGCCTTTCTCTGTGAGACTTTGTTTGCCTATGCTATCATGTGTCTCGAGTTTCATCCCAGAATGCATTCGCGATCGCGGCAGTAAGCTGAGGCAATATTTCTGTATTCATGGAATAAATCAATCAGTCGAGTTCCAATTTTGGCTCATATATCCGTAACGGGTCCTCCAGAGCAGTTTTCCACCTTGCACAATTGTTATAATTTCTTTATTTCTATTTGTAAAATTTGAGGTGGGATAATGGCGGCTTCTCAAGAGCAACGAGGTAGGCGATCTTTTGCACCAACGAACAGAAAACTGATGGCGAAAAATAACCAATGAAAACCTCCCAAAAAAAAGAATTTGCCCAAAAACGGAACTTCGTGGATCTGCGCAGATTTACCAGTCAGACACGACATCTCAAAGAGGAAAAAAACTCGCTGAAAGCGAATTTTAGCAATCAACACAACTTGACGTAGAGACATGATTGGCTAAAAAATACAACGGTTTTTGATACATCGGAAAATCAACCAAAAATCGAACACTGGGCGAAACGCTCAAGGTCGCAGAGGTATAGGGAATCCCATTGCGAAAGCAACGGAACGATTCTAATATCATGGGGAACTCCGTTCCCATGACAATAAAATAATATGAACTATGCAAAACGATAATCCTGGTATCGGAACTTGGCTGTTTTTGAAAACGCCTTCAAATGGAGCGTGATACCTCACGCATTCCGGAGAGTTCAAATAGTTGTATCATTGCGCCGTAAGAATGTGCCGGAAGATTACAATTGAAATAGCCTCCATGCACGCTGGCCTTTTCGATTTCCATTCCCATTTTTGCAGTCATAAATGCACAGCTGAATTGCGCTCCAGCTGGAATAATTGTCAACCGAAGGCTGAGGTTATTTTGTGTTTTACTTCCCGTAGTAACCAAACTTTTTTGGTGAAATTTCTCTACGTGTAGAGGGAGACACTCTTGTATTTTATTACTTTTTTCTTCAACATGTATTTTCAATCCTTTAAAGCCGTTTCTTGGCTTCCGAACTTATTTTAATTTTTCTGGGATTTAAGGCAAGAGTCGTTCAAATGGATCCAAGACAACGATTTGCGGTATTCAAAAGTGCCTTCAGGAGAAGGTACAGCTCAAAGAATGAAGAGAATAAACGCTTTGAGATCTTCCAGAGGAACTTGGTCACTATCGATAAACTCAATGCTCAAAAGAAAGGAAGTGCCGTTTTTGGTGTCAACATCTTCGCTGATTATACGCGTAAGTATGGTTGCTTATGCATATCACAAGAAATACAAGCTGTCTCATACGGTAGTACGAAACGAAATTAACTTTTCGAGGCTTCGATCAAATGTTTCATGAAAAGCCAGCGGGTTGATTCTTAAAATAGACAAAAAAGACAGAGAGATATGAACGCATCCTGTTGATGGAAGCGGGAGGTGATTGTGTTCAAGCTAGGCTTTAGGAGATCCTCTCCTCAGCATCATAAAAAAGATGATTTTTGCAAAAATCGAGTATTTTCGGAGAATAACTTTGGAAATGGAAATATATTGTAAGTTTCGTGCTTCTTTGCAAAAACAAATTATTGTAACATTTCCTATGATCCTCTTTTTAGAGTTTCACGATGGACCACTAGACCAGGTACGAATTTCAGCATTCTGATACATGTTTCTTAACCAAAATTTCACGTAAAATACGATGCGTACAACGAAAATTACCGACATTAACTCCTTAAGAAGATATTAATTGATTCTTGATGCGTGAATTCAAACCACCCGCTCATGAAAACTCAATGCTCTACGTGATTCACATCGCGCGCTAAACGTTATCATGACAGTCTCTGCGATATATAAAAATCTGGCAACCTCAATATTGACGCTTTGGTTCAGCTGTAGCAAATTGCTTATAGTTTGAACAACACATGATTGGAAATGAACATTACTCGATTGAGAAGCTTGTTGAAACCGTTGTAGTGCGCGATTTGACCCACGTAGAGTTTTGAGTTTCTCGTGAGCGGGCAGTTCAAAACTATCGTAACCAATGTGAAATAAAAACGTTGATATTTTCGTTAGGAGTTAGTTTCAGTGATTTTCGTTGCGCTTATCGTGTTCTACGTAAAATTCTGGTTAAGAGACATGTATCAGATTGCTTAAATTCGTACCTTGTCTAGTGGTCCATTGAGGTTTACAAAACCTGTCCTAATCGCATGATGAAATGTTAAGGGATCTCCTCCCTTAGTCAGTACGCCATAAAGGGTTCTCCTACGAGAATGAGTAGTTTAATAAATCTCTTTGAATGCGGCCCTCAGCGGGCTGATTATTGAAATTGAAAGATAAAGCTATAGATAAAGAAGACAAGGGGCAAATGGAACTACTGTATTGGTGGAACAAGGGTCGTCGTAAGATGGAAGTTGTGCTCTTAGAGGAACTTGTGGCGATTGTTCTTGGTAAACTCACGAGAGACCGTAAATTCAGTCTATTATTCTCCTCCTTAGTCTTTCACGACGACCCTTTTTCGACCAATAGAAGACTCGCTCCGTTTTCCTCTTGTCTTCTCTATGACTCCTCGTGATTCTCAGGAGAGGAGTACATGAGAACGAGCAGCAGACCACCCATTGTTGCCAGGTTGTGCTGACAATCAACAGTATTCCCCATATCGACGGTGAAACTACCAAACCACGTATCTCGTTTGTGGTGTTTAAAAATCTACGCTCGCATTTTATTTTTTTGAAGTAGACCAAATCAATATCATACCTTGAAATTTTCACAGAATTTTCTCCGCACGAAGAGGAAAAATCACAGAAATTTTCAAGACTGGACGTTAAGTAGTTTTTCATTTAAAAAATAAAGTATGACAGGAAGTCTGCGACGTCGCAAACCGAGATACGTGGTTTGGTAGTTTCACCGTCGATATGAACCCATGTCGTATATCTCGATTTAATGGCACAACTCGGTAATTGTGTGTGATCCCCAGAGGAAGAGTACATGAGAACGAGGGGCGGCAAGCCGCCCAGGTCCCAATCATTGACCCCACGAATGTTTACCCCTCGCGGACGCAAAAGGAGCAACTCAGCGCCACCACCTGGACGCACCAACTCCAGGGAGCCTCGTTTCCCGGAGCGCGGGGGGTCAGTGCCGCCCCCCTACACCATCGGCCGAGACCGCCCCGATCCCCCTCTCAAGGACTGGCGAGTTCCTGCTCACCTGTACCCACCGACCCAACCGCAAGTACGCAACAACCTACATTCCCGTCTTATCAAATAAACATTCAAGAGAACACTGAAAAAAAATCTCGGTGTATTTACTAAGAAAAGGGTTAAATTACCAATAATTCAGGGTTCTATTTGATCCCAGTTTTTTCTTGGTAAAATTACCATTTATGGAATTGGTAATTTTACCGAGAAATCTCGGTAAAATTATTGAACTTTCTCGGTAATTTTATTGGATCTTGGTAAAAACGCCAATATTTTTTATCGACTGTGGTTGAATTACCGAGATAAAATGGCGAAGTTACCGGGAATTGATTACCAATAAAAGTGGTATTCTTACCTGAAAAAACAGTGAAAATACCGGTTTTTAGGTAAATTGCAAACAACATACACTGAAAAAAAAAATCTCGGTGTATTTACTAAGAAAAGGGTAAAATTACCAAGAATTCAGGGTTCTATTTGATCCCAGTTTTTTCTTGGTAAAATTACCATTTACGGAATTGGTAATTTTACCGAGAAATCTTGGTAAAATTATTGAACTTTCTCGGTAATTTTACTGGACCTTGGTAAAAACACCAATATTTTTTATCGACTGTTATAGAATTACAGAGATAAAATGGCAAAGTTTCCGGGAATTGATTACCAATAAAAGTGGTATTCTTACCTGAAAAAACAGTAAAAATGCCGGTTCTCAGGTAAGCTTACCAGTCTGTCTTGGCAAAATTACCAATAATTGGTAAAAAAAGTGATGGACCAACGGGCCTTGGTAAAAACGCCGAGAATTTTTTATCAGTGAAGGGCTAGCATGATTTCTACCCAGAGGGCTAACCTAAGGAGTCCGTCGAATCGTCGCACAGTGGATCGAGGCAATAGGAAAGGTCGGACAAAATTTGGAAACTTAAAACGCTTACACATACTTTGAGGTTCTAAAGGTGGTTCCATTGGTTTCCTCGTAAAATTTTCTTCTGAAAGCACCCTTAGAAATTTAAATGTGACAAGATAAACGCAGTTTTCGTCAAAAATTTCATATTCGACCTCTATATTGACTCGATCCAATGTTCGGTGATCCTATGATTAGGTTCAGTTTCAAGACCATCGACTGCTGATAACAATCTAACAATCGATGAGTCCTCCATTTTTTGGAGGATGACTCTAAATGGGGGATTCAGGGACTTGCCGCCGGTTGAATTTTTTTTTTTTTTTTTTTTTTTTTTTTTTTTTTTTTTTTTTAAAGCAAATAAAGGTAAATGAGAGAATTTCAGACAGAAAAAAAAGTCCTAAGAAACGCAAAAAATGTTGTCGCCCAACGCAAGTGATTAATGTTTGTGCTCCTCGCGACAGGCCAGGGTGTGCATGCGTGTAGAGATTATTCGAAGAAAGGTCGCACGTGTGTGCGAGAAACTTTCAAATATCATGCGTGACATTTTTTTGGTGATGTATGAGGATATCCGTAAAACTTCAAAAGCAAAAAGTGTACTTGCATCGTTTCCTCGTCAAATTTTAAGTGCTTTTTGAATCACCTGCTACGTTAATTACTGTCGATCAATCGCTAAAAGATGAAGATGTAAAATTAATATACCGCTATTTTTTGTCGATTCCTCCAAGAGCATGCAGAAAAAAATAGTGATACATACATATAAGTCGCTTTACAGCACTCCCTCGCGCTCTACGACTCCTAACCTCCACTGCTCTCTTTCGAACCACAAATCTTGGGGGATTGAGCACCTTAACATTTCCGCTTCAATCCCTTCCCTCCAACCTTTCATTGGGCGCCCTCTGCGTCTTCTCCCAGGAGGAACCCAGTCAAGGACCTTCTTCGGCAACCTGTCTCCTGCCATTCTCTGGACATGACCATACCAGATGAGTTGTTTCGTCATAATGTCATGCACGATGGTCTGCTTGGCATCCATGATTTCCCGTACCGTCTCATTCCTGACGCGATCCTTTCTGGAAATACCAGCGGATCTACGCCAGAAGTCCATTTCCGTTGCCTCTAAAACCTCCCGGGTCCGCTGTTTCATCGGCCATACTTCACACCCGTAGGTTACTATGCTCTTGACAATCGCGTTGTAGATCCTTCTTTTGTTCTCTTTGGAGATCCTTTGATCCCAAAGGACTCCATTTAACATAGCGATTGCCCTCCTATCCTGCATATTCCTCTTCTTGATGGCCTGGTCCAATCTTCCATCCTGGGTTAGAAACACTCCTAGATATTTGTAAATATCGCAACTTCCAATTTGCCGCCCATCCTCTAATTCTATACTTTGCTGATTCCCGCCAACGGTCAACTTCTCGGTTTTGCTGACATTCACCTCGAGGCCCCATTTCCGATACTCAGTCACCAACTTTCGAGTCATGTACTCAGCATCATCCTGATCTTGGGCGATAAGTACTTGGTCATCAGCAAAGCATAACGTGTAAAGAGTTTCTTCATCATTCAGAGGGACACCCATTCCGGAACATTTTTTCTTCCATTCACGCAGTACATGTTCTAAGTATATTTTAAACAAGGTGGGGGAGAGGCAACACCCTTGCTTTAGCCCCTTTGTTACATAAAACCCCCCCGACAAGCCCCCTTTACATTTAATTCTTGCGAAAGTCCCTTGATAAAAAAGCTTAATTGCATTAATTAGTCCACGAGTAAAATCGGATTTTTCCAAGGCCTCCCACAGTTTCACTAAAGGCACGCTATCATAGGCTTTTTGCAAATCCACGAACACCAAGTGCAATTCTTGACCAACCGCCATCTTCTTCTCAATAACCTGGGTGATGCAAAATAGATGGTCGACGGTTGATCTGCCAGCCCTGAAACCAGCTTGCTCCTCTGCCTCATGATGAATCCATTCTTCTTCGATTTTAGCTTTCAATATCTTACCATAAATTTTACTGATCGTCCCGGTCACCGACAATCCACGATAATTATCGAGATCGTCCTTTTTCCCTTTTTTGTGGGTAGCTGTAATCCAAAATTCTTTCCACTCCTTCGGGACTTCATCACCTTTCGCACATTTATCCATTAAGTCCCTTAAGCAATGGAACAGCCTGTTGGACCCACATTTAATTAATTCTGAGGGAATATCTCCGGGTCCATAAGCTTTCACATTCTTCAACTCCCTGACGGCTTTAACCACATCAAAGAGCTGGACTGATACAGTGGATGCCTCATCGGTGTTTATCTGCGTGCCTCCCTGAAACTCTGGTCGCCTTTCGGTCAATAATTGTTTAAAATGTTCCTCCAACTGGCGGATCGATATCGGAGATAAAATATCACGCTTCATATCCCTTCTTAGGCCTTTTAATAATTTCCAACTTTCTGCACTCTTTCTGCCCCCGAGGTAGGTGTTAATTTTGGAGAAATTCTGCTCCCAAGTCTCGTTTTTCTTCCTTGTAATGAGACTCCTCACCCGAGCCTGAGCCTGCTTGTAAACAACCTTGTCTTCATCCCTCTTAGAGGACAGAAAAGAATGGTACTTGTTCCGCTTATCTTGGATCTCTCGTTCCACTTCCGCGTCCCACCAGTATGGCTTACGCCTCGAGTTATCTTCTTCACAAACTCCTAAGGCCTCACTGGCCGCAGAGTGAATACAATCCTTAATGAATTGATAATGCTCCTCAGTGCTGCTAAAAGACCTCTCCACCAACTTTTCATCCAGCCTTTGCCTGTACAGACGTTTAACGCTATCATGGTGGAGACTATCGATATTATACTTCTTCCGATGAAGGACAACCCTCTCTTGCTGCTGATCTTGTTGCACAGGCTCGACTCGCTGGCCGTCCTTCGCCGGGAAAGCTATTCTTGCTTCGAGAAAATAGTGGTCGCTGCCACATGAGAGACCTCTGCACACTCTCACATGCTGAACCTTCATCTTGGATTTTTGCCTCACAATCACGTAGTCAATAATGGACCTCAAACCTCGCGTTGGCTGCACCCAGGTGTATTTGTGAATGTCGCGACGCTGGTAAAATCCGTTTAAAATTTTTAGATCATTTTGATCACAGCTATCGATGATTCGGATACCGCTGTCATTCACAACTTCCTCTCCATATGGTCCAACCACCTTGCAACCCCTCCTACTACCCGTTCTTCCATTAAGGTCTCCCATGATTAGCACTTCCCTCGTAGTTCCAATTTGCTCGATTTCTTCATTTAGTTGTTCAAAGAATTGGTCTTTTAGCCCCACAGGAGCATCGTCATTCACCCCGTACACTCCAAGTAGTGCAATTCTGTGCCCGTACACCGTGAGATTCATCTTGATTATGCGCGGACTCACAGCTTCCCAGTTGTTAATGTACTTCCGCAAGGTTTTCCGTATGAGAATTGCAACACCCTGCTGAGCCCGTTGTTCCTTACTTATTCCACTGAAAAACATGTCGTAATCTCCTAAACTTTCAGATCCGTGGCCTTTTTTCTTGGTTTCTGTTAGTACTGATACGTCCACCCCGTGATTTTTTATCTCCGACACAACCTCCGTCAATTTCGTCGATATCCCTTGGACATTCAAAAAATAGTGATTTTTGTGTAAATACATCGTCGCAAGTTCAGCACGATCTCCAAATTAGGATGCAAATCTGAACTTTCCTTCTCTAACTTTTCATGATACAAACAAGTTTTATCTCTTGGGTTTCGCGGGGGTTTCGCGGGGGTTTCGCGGGGGTTTCGCGGGGGTTTCACGGGGGTTTCACGGGGGGTTTCACAGGGGATTCATGGGCGTTTCGTGGGCGTTTCGCGGTTGTTTAACGGGGGTTTCACGGGCGTTTCACACACACGGGGTCGTGACTCGGTGTGTGTGAAACAATGGAATATGGTCAAATACCGTGGGGAGTTTTTTTTGGATTTTTTTTTGGATTTTTTTTTTCGCCAAGGACATCACATTTGGATACTTAAATTTGAAGTGAAAGGTTGATAAAAAAGTGAGTGAGCCCGCCTACATTACCACACGGCCCCACACGTGCTATCATACGAGAACGCATTTCGAATTGGAATCGTGCGCAAAAATTCAGGTAAAAAATGCTCTGCATTTCTCAAAATTGGCACGTACTCTTAAAAAGCTCGATTATAAAAGCTCAATATACTGAGGACGTTGCAGAGAACATCGTATTGAGTGGATGGATTTACTCACGGTTGCTCTGATTGCATACCACGTTGCCTGTAACTTTGATTCATATTTTTATTTTTTTTTAGCAAAGGGAGAGACATCAGAATGCCTTGGATCTTCCAATGGATTTGTTCTCAAATTATATGACAAATATACTTCCATAATTGCATCGATTTATGTCGATCGAATCCATACCCTCCTACACATGGACCTGCTCTCAAAAAAACGCTGTAGGTTCATTCGGAGATCCAGGGTAATAAGGCCAATTTTGGCTTTTCGTCAGGGGCTTTATACCCTTCCTTTGCAAAGTGAATATTCAATATTAGAGAGTGTTCTAGCAAGTTATGTTTCTCTGTTTTTGGACGAATCCTGCTCGCAGCATCAGTTCGGCAATTTATGTTTCGCCTGTTACGCTATGACGGCAGTTGCGGCTCTTGAGATTCTACTAGCGCACCAGGCGGGAAAACTCACCTTGCTCTCCGTTCAAAGTAAGTCCAGCTCACCCACTTTAGCATCTTCAACATCCAGAATGGATCTTCGGCATCCAAGCGAAACAGATAGGTTGACCAACTGGTCAGTAATAATTGTTAACAGGGACTTTTGCGGCGCAAGTTGTGTGAATCCGAAAATGAAGGGGAATCTTATATGATTCCCCTTCATTTTCGGAGAAAACATACTACCGAGAAAAAAAACACAGTTATTCTACCGTTACAATGGTAGTAATGTCACACGGGATTCCACGGTAGTAGAATTGTGGATTTTGATTCTTGTAACGATGAACACGGTGATATGACCGTGTTCACCGTAATATTACTGTGGGCACAGACATACTATTATGAGCATGGTTATGCTACTGTGCTCATCAATAATATTACCAAAATCCACGGTTCTTCTGCCGTGGAATCTCGTGTGACATTATTACCGTGGTAACCGTCGAATGATCGTGGTTTTTTTTTTCCCCGTGTACGTTTCTGCTGTACACGTTTTTTCTACTATGGACTCACCAAGTTTGAAAAGTTCGTTGTTTCTTTATTGTTTAAATGATTTCCAACCTATCTCATATGAAATATGTGGGTACATAAAATCCTGAATATATATATATATATACATTTTGATCAGAATACTGGTAATGTAGTATCGCGTCTAAGATATTGGACTCCATGTACACCCCATGTTCGGCCCCATAATAATGCTGAAAAATCACCAAACTATCTACTCACCTAGTGCTTTCAGAATATAAAATAAAATAAACAAGGTATAATGACCCATTTTGCCGTGCTATGGATAAACGCCGTAGGAACCTTCATACGTTGCCAAATTTCCTTTGATAAATCATGAATTTTCGAGAATATTTTGTTAACATTTTTCTTCCAATTTTTCAGAAAATTTTGTTCGCAATTTTACCTACAGTTCTTGTATATTTCTCGGAAAAATATTCATAATTTTCCTCAAAAATGAACATATTATCGAAGGAAATTTGGCAACTCTTGAATGTTCATACGGCGTTTTTCCTTAGCACGGCAGCATTGTCGGTTAAGTGGTATTGTTCCTGAGCCCATGCAAGATCCCGTGAATCCATAAAAATCTGAAAATGTTTACAGATTTGATTGACTGCGATCGTACAAACAATGGCTGTATGGGAGGGCACACCAGTAACTCCCTGAATTATATAAGGGATGTTGGAATAGCCACCGCCAGGGCTTATCCATACCAAGCGGGGCAATTCGGATGTCGGTCCAATCAAATAAAGCCTTACGTCAAGCTCACCACCTTCATCGAATCAGATCCAAGTAATATAGAGGGTCATTTAGAGCTCAGCCCAATCCCAACGGCGGTACACCATCCCCCGGAGCTCCAAGTAAGGAACATAAAAAAAAAAAAAAATCATCAGTCATTCTGCATGCTGATCATTGAGATTGATGGACAAAGTTATAGACAAAATGACAATGAGGTGAGCCCATTGGTTGAAGCGAGGGCTTGCGATGGACAAAGAGGTGAGTACTCACTAAACATAACACATCCCTTGGATATAGAGTCCAGACTCTTACTTTGTCAAGAAAAAATACTCTCGATTCAATCGGATTTTTGCTTGAATCTAAAGGAAATCTGCTTAAGGTAATTTGACGGTCGCCATTTTTTTCAGAGCGACGTGTGATATATAGAATCGATTGGTTACATAATTTAAGCTACTTGTAATTTTTTTGAATTTTGGGATCGCACTTCTGTTGTCATGAGACTGAAAAATTCATATACCAAATTTGACAAAGAAATTCAACGTATTAAAAGCAGGGTTTTTTTTTGGAGAAAGAATATAGCATTCGATGCTGATATCGAAACTGCACTAGAATGAAATATTTTTCATAGAAAAAAAACCCTGCCTTTATTACGAACCAATGCGATATATCGCACGTTGCTCTGGCACAAAAAATGGCGACCGTCAAATCACCTTAAGCAGATTTCCTTTGGATTCAAGCAAACATCAAATTGGATCAAGAGTATTTTTCCTTGTCAAATGTTTTTTGAGTATGGACACTGGATCCAAGAGTCTTTTTCTCCGGTGAAGACTAACTAACGGCATCCAATGAGAGGTTCTACAGTTAGTTTATTAAATCTCCCTTGGTCTATATCAACTGCCCGTTTCAGCCTATGGGATGCTTTTTGTCATTTTTGTCCATAGCTTTATCCATAAATTTCGATAATGAGCCCACTTCCGTGCCATGTAGAAACGCTGCGTTGTATGTGCTTCTGGACGTTGTAGAATATATTTCGATAAAATTCATGTTTTGGGAAACTTGTGGCAACTTTTCTGTAATTTTCAGGATGATTGTGTTTCTGGCTGGAGCTGAAGTAAATGAAGTTTTTTAAAAGAAATTCATGATTTTCCAAAAATAAATATATTCTTGGGGAAAATTTGACAATATTTGAATTTTCTTATGGTGTTTTTCCTCGACACGGCAGTATCATTGCCAAGCACTCTGCGGGCTAAATATTTAGATCGATGGACAAAAACACAGACATACAAGACGACTAGACAATAATACAGCGATCCTATTGGTTAACCATACAAACCGTAAAAACCCCAAAAAACTTTCAGATTTGCAGTGGTAAAGAATCCGGTCAAAGTCTCAAACTTGGTGAGCATTTTCTTGTTACTTATAAAAAAATGAAAAATTATACTTCACCGTATATTGAACAGAGGCAACAATCGAATAGAGGCCCCTTCATAAATGAGTGATGCAACAGTCACGACCTGCGTGCGTGTGACGACCTTTCAGGTTGCAAGAGTACAATCATGATGTCTCCTTGCTTCTCCAATTTGTGTTTTTTATCAAAACTAAAGAAAGTAAGTATTGATTGTTCTGAGCTTTTTATGTTCTCCAAAACAATATGGAATATGATATCACGCAAAGTCCACAATTTTTCGATTCAAGTCATATTATGCTTTTAAAACGGTATGGATACAATACTCAATCGGCTGGCTAAAGTCCAGTAATGTATTTTTCTTAAGATGGTCTCCTGCATAAATGAATGATGCAACAAACGCCACACTTGTCCAAAGACAGCCCTTACAAGAGCCTTTTTCTTTACCTTATCCAAATTTTGAAGAATCACTGACACGTTCGTTGCAATGATCTTACTGTAATCGTCCCTGCTGCATGCTAGTAGATTGCTTGCACATTTTTCAGCCGTTTCATTCTTCCTTTGTCTTCTCCCAAAACTTATTTACTTTATAATATCTTTTAATATTCTTACATTACGATGCTGTGGTATGATATGCACGTCAATGGAAGCTAACATAATATTGCACCATACACCATTGTAAAATGAACTGATTTTTACGAAAATGTCTCCAGATTATCTACTTACATATTGCATATTTTTTTTGAAAAAAATAGTGAAAAATTAAGAATACTCTACAGAAACCTCGACAATTGTATGAGCTTGAATACTCTCGTGCTAAGGAAGGACGCCGTATGAACACTTGAGAGTTGCCAAATTTCCTCCGATAAATACCGAATTTACTGAGAAAATTGTGAATATTATTTTCCAAAATTTTCTGCAAATTTTGTACGCAATTTAATCTAAAATATTTGAAAATTTCAATGAAAAATATGCATAAATGTGGTCAAAAATACATATTTTATGAAGAGAAACTTGGCAACTCAAGAATGTTCATACGGCGTTCTTCCTTAGCAGGGCAGAATAGTCGCGACGTGTTGCTGATTTTAATGATTTCACTGGTTTTTCTTGTTTTTTCTTAAAATCTCATTTCATTTTTAGCTGGCATGAAACTTATAGATTTCTGTTTCAGTTTTACATTTCAGGAGTGTTCGATTCAGACAACTGCCCAAACGACATTTGGAGTATAAATCACGGCGTTGTCATTGTCGGCCATTACAGAGGTGCATATATTTCAATTTTCGTTTTTCTCCTTTTTTATTGTTTCAGAAATGCAATGGTGTGGCGTGCTTTGCGATATATTGATTGCTCTGATATTTAATTAAATGCCACCAATTAAATGTTTTCCATTGGTTTAAACCTATGGAAAAGGGTCAATAAACAGGGTGCCCGCAACGAACACCTCTATAATCGATTCTTCACCAAACCTTCAAATAAAAAGATATTGACAATCGATTATTCACGTCTCGCGATTGCAGAGATACATCGCAAACTTTTACGCGGTTAAAAGATGGATCTTCTACACTCTTATAAATCGTGGAGTGAAATTAGATGCCGCACAGTGGATCAAGTCAATGGGAGATGTCGGACAAATTTTGGAAAGCTTTCTCCATTTTACAAAATTTTGAAGTCCTAAAAATGGTCTCATAGATTTCTTCAGAAAATTTTCTGCGAGAACCACCCCTCAAAATGTAAAATTCACTGGGAAAAAAAACACATTAGATTTAGAGTCCACACTCTTGAAAACATTGACAAGAAAAAATGCTCTTGATTCCATCGGAGTTTTGCTTGAATCAAAAGGAAATCCGCTTAAATTAAGAGGCTTGGTTCTTGATTTAAGCACGAATCCGATTGAATCAAGAGTATTCTTTACTGTCGCTGTTTTTAAGAGTCTGGATTCAAGATCCAATGTAGTTTTTTCTGCAGTGTTTTAAATGAACAGAGGGAAATTAGTTGGATTCAATATGATTTTTCCAATTATTTTAAAAGATAGTAATCCGCACAGAGCGTGCAAAAACCTAATGGTAGAGACAAGTTGAAAAAAACTGACTCCGCGAGTTTAACTAATCGCGCCGAACACAGCGCGGTCAGCGCGACACGCATATTAGCGCCTTCAGGACTGAATGAATACTTCACGTATTGCGCCAAACACCATGCGTTTGGCACGAGCAGTGAAGCGCCTACAAGACCGTATAAATACTTCACGCATTGCGCGTTCGCTACGGAGCGCAGTGCGCTCTTAAAGGTGATGCGATGGACGCCATATTTTGCGTCAGAACGACGTGCGATGTATCACATCGAATGGCTTTATTTTTTCAGCTACTAATCATTTTTCTCGAATTTTGAGATCGCAATTCTGTTGTCAGGAGACTAAAGCACTCACTTACCAATTTTAACAAAGAAAATCGACGTAATAAAGGCGTGGTTTTTTTAGAGAGAAAATATCGCATTCGAGTGCAGTTTCGATATCAGTATATCGAATGCGATGTTTTGTCTCTTTTTTAAAAAAAAAAAAAAACCACACCTTTATTACGTTGAATATCTTTGTGAAAATTGGTAAGTGAGTGCTTTAGTCTCGTGACAACAGAATTGCGATCTCAAAATTGGAGAAAAATGACGAGTAGCTGAAAAATGGAATCAATTGATGCGATATATCGCATGCCATTCCGACACAAAATATGGCGTCCATCGAATAACCTTAATCTTTGAAAATTCTGTGCTGACTGGACTGTCACGCCGGACCCACCACGGTGTACACCATTTCCGACCAGTGCACACCGTGAGCCTGCAATCCTGGGATCGTAGAAATTTTGCACCCTTAAATGGTACCTCAGTCTATTCTGTCATTACTGTCGCCCATCACAAGTTCGTCCGTCGTTTCTGATTGGCTATCGTTACAACGAGAACCTCTCTGTAGTGAGGAAATCGGTCAGTCGATTGAGTTCCCGTTATGGAGATGCCTTTACTGTATTAGGCTGTTTTTAAGATGATGTTTTAAGAGTCTGGACTCTAGATCCAATGTTATTTTTTTCCGGTGTTTGACGAAATAAACATCTAAATTTGCGGTTTCACAGAAATTCAGTGACATATTTCGATTTTTGGTTTCAGATGCGTGGATTATCCGAGACACGGTTCCTGAAGAATGGGGCTTACAGGTATTCAATCTATGAAGTTAATAATTTAGGATTATCTCCAATTTTTTGGACTAGGCCTCAGCCACCTCACCCCTCAGCGGTTAAAATATGGTGTAATAGTATGTGATCATAAAAAGAATAGACATCTCTGGAGAAAATTAAATTAAATCTGTGGAATGATTTTTGAAATTGATAGACAAAGCGATCGACAAAGAAGACATAAGGAGTATGTAGCGATCTCATTTGTTGAAATGGATAGTTCTTATAGACTGAGGCTGTAAATAATGGACTAAATACAGGGTCCATCGTGAGTTGCCGTTAGTTAGTCTATTACCTAAACCCTTTGTCCTTTGCAACCAACCACTCACTTTCACCAATAAGATCCTTCCATATCATTTTTGTCCTCTTTGTCTATAGCTTTGTCTATCAAATTCAATGACTAGCCTGCAGCTTAGAAAATGTTGAGAAATCAAAATAAGCTCAACTCGTCACGGGGAAGAAGTGACAATGGTCCAGGACCACTTTGATTAAGCAACGCGACCCCATGTTGCTACTGGAGCGCAAGAGTCGTGATAGGACCCTGACGACTGCCTGTCCAGCCGCGACCATCATCGTTGCAGAGTCCAACCGATATTAAGGTTTTGTCAGACCCCAACTAAACGTGTGCAAATTCAACCGAAAATGGGCCTACTGCAGACTTCAGCGCGAGAAAAAAGAAGAGTTGTTCCTGGTAGGAGATAGCTCAAAAATCATGTGTTGGGATCTAGCATGAACTAGCTTCTCCAAACAAGAAGGAAAAAACTTCAAAACACAAGATAGGTGTCTAAAAATATATTGTGCGTAAATCGAAATGCACACAATGACAGAAAACAGAAGAACAAAAATTGTGGTCTTGACTCCTGGTCGCGGGTAATCCAAGAGTGCCCACTAATGCTAAAACAATCTCTTTTAAATTGACCTAATGTGCCTATGGGCCTAGGTGTCAAGGTGGTTTGGGAGAAATAAAGATGAGTTAAGAATGTGCGCAAATAGGTAGCCGGACGCGGACTCATGGTCGGTCATTAGGCTGATCCGCGGAGCGTCCTGAGACCGGACATGAACCGGATACGAACTGTATCAAGGTGACATGACTGAGAATAGTTGCAAGAGAAAGATGTAAGATAGGTATATTGGGCGCACAACACATGATGAACACATCAGGAAAGTCTAAAATCCACTCCTAACTTCACAATCTGCGAAGAAAAATGCGATTTTTAAGCTTCCTGCTTCAAGAAATTACCGGCTCCGGTGAACATTTTGTTAGAGGAGTTGTTCCATCCAACGCTTTCGCACTAGCTTACTGTACGCAATATTCAGCATGGCTACCGCAAATCGTGACGATTTTAATTTTATTTTTAGGATTTATCAACGAAAGGAAAATGTCTCGTCTCGTCATGAATGTTTTTGCGGGTTGGCGTCGGCCATGTTGAATACTGCGTAGCATCCTAGTGTGCGAGGGTTGGATGAAACGACTCCTCTTACGAATTTTTCACCCGTGCTGTAGTATAATTATTGAAAAGGGAAGCATACAGATTGTGAAGTTGGGAATACATTGTAGACTTTCTCGATGCACTTGTTAAGATCATTGAGCCATTTTTTGTTCATAAACAACATTGGCTTGGCTAAAGTTTGCAACAAGCCCATTATACGTATTATATCAAATGATGATAGCCCTCTGAATTTGTCAATAATAAAGTAATCTACCAGGTAAAAAATGTTGAATTAATGCTTGTAGGTTTACTGGTCGTGAGTTAAAAAGTGCGGGTGAACAAAACCAAAGGTGGAGAGACTGCGAGTGAGTACTCCCAGCACCATCTCCTCCTCTAATTTAGTTTCCTTACTTCCCATTATTGAGCTGATAATGATGAAGTCAGCGCCGTTTTCAATCCTCAAATTATGTCTCAAGGGGGAAGAATAAATGTCCTATAAATGTTTGACGGTTGTGCGGTGTCTTCTGACAAAATGCAAATTTGCACGATGACTTGTGATTGTATTTCTTACGTTAGGAATTCGTTTTTGTCATGGGAACGGAGTTCCCCATGATATTACAATCGTTCCGTTGCTTTCGCTATGGGATTCCCTATATACCTCTGCGACCTTGAGCGTTTCGCCCAGTCTCCGATTTTTGGTTGATTTTCCGATGTATCAAAAACCGTTGTATTTTTTAGCCAATCATGTCTCTACGTCAAGTTGTGTTGATTGCTAAAATTCGCTTTCAGCGAGTTTTTTTTTCCACTTTGAGATGTCGTGTCTGACTGGTAAATCTGCGCAGAACCACGAAGTTCCGTTTTTAGGCAAATTCTTTTTTTTGGGAGGTTCTGATTGGTTATTTTTCGCCATCAGTTTTCTGTTCGTTGGTGCAAAAGATCGCCTACCTCGGTGTTCTTGAGAAGCCGCCATTATCCCACCTCAAATTTGAAAAATAGAAGTAAAGAAATAATAACCATCTTACAAGGTGGAAAATTGCTCTGGAGGACTCGTTACGGACAAAGAAGTCAAAATCAGAGCTCGATTGATTGATTTAATTCATGGATAAACAAATATCGTCTCTTGTGATAAGTCCCGCCCATTGCCCGAGACTTTTGTACGCTGTTTTTCCTCCATCGCACGTAGATCCGTTATAGCATAGTTTACTAAACAGCCTCGTATTTTTGGTTAGATGCGGGCACCCGGCGATCGGGAGTTCGATACCCGATGATGGATGTTACTTTTTAATTGTTGTATTGAATGTTTTAGACTAATCATCAAAAAATAATTAATATTAGATGATAAATGGACTGAGTTAAGCAGAAAGGAACCAACCCACATTTTGGAAAAAATTGAGTTATGAGTGGTTTTGAACTCAACCACTGCTCTACTATCTATCGCCAAAAAATTCAAAGTTTTTGTTGGAGCAAATTTTGCAGAAACAGAATTTGAAGTTTATCTTTTCCATTGAGTCATATGCAGGAGCCAAACTTTAAACCTCTTTTTCTCGGTTCGATCCCGATGTGGCTTGGTTCCTTTCTGTTTAACTCCGTCCAAATGTACGAACATTTTCTCGTGAGTTAATATGTTAAACAAAAATACTGGAATATACCTCCTTCATATAATCAGCCACATGTTCCCCCAAATTAATGACGTTATTTTCTTTTTTCAATAAAGTTAATTTGCATTCAACGTTCGTAAGTTAAGCAAAAAGTACCTATTGATACAAATAGAAAGACATGAAAATAGTATGTCTAACATTTCAGTTGGTTTTTTTTTTATTTATTTATTTTTTGTTTTTTTGTTTTTTCAATAAAACAAATTGACTGGGACTAGAATCATCGTATCTCTGAAGACAAAAGCTAAGTTTTTTGATACAGAAATACTAATATATTCATCCTTTATATAATCAGGGAGATGTTGACCCAAATATTGATGTATATTTTCTCTGTTCGCCCAAATTAATGATGGTATTTTCTTTTTTCAATAAAATTAATTTACATTCCACGTTCTTAAAGCAATATTTTCTCCAATATTTAGCAAAAAATAACAATTTATACCTACGCAAAAAGTAAATAAATAAATAAAGCAATGACATGAAAGTAGTATAGGTAGTACACATCTAACATTTCGGTTACATCTATTTGAATGAAAAAAATGGCAACTTAGGAAGCACATAGGTCACTTTATGATGCGTATTCGGGCATATGCGTAGAGTAAAAATATCATACTTTACGCCGAAAAAACGAAACTGAAAGTTAAATGCGTTAACTTCCAAAAACCATACATAATCCAACGAAAATAAATAATTGGTAAATAACAGCTTTCTTGTATGCAAAGAAAAAAAATTAAAAATGTTAAAAAAGAGATGTCGACACAAAATTACATAGCCCCTTCAATTCTGAAGATACTACAAACGAACTGTACCTTAAAATTTTCATATCCCAGAAGCAAAAGTTCCCATGACGAATATTGCTATCGCTAGCGATTGCAAAAACCAACTTGTTTTTTGCTTTTCTTTGCAGGGTCACTATTTGATGAAAAAAGGGATATGTTGCGTTGGTGTGTCGAGTTATACGCTGATTGAACCGCAAATTATGACATATAATGATGACAGGAGTAAGAGACAGAAAACATGACGGACACTGAACGATCAAACTTCAGTTCAGAGTCATCATAACCAAGGGCCAAACAGTATCACATCACATTATGTTGATTAGTGTAAAATATTAGATTAAGACAAGCTTTTGGGACTCGATGTAAACTTAGGATAAAAATATGTTCTCTTGTACTGAGCCTACCATAAAGCCCTACCCTAATTTTTTTCGGGTATTACAGAATTTTGGTGAAGTCTTTTTTTATCTTGAGGTTATTACTTTTCTTGTGATCTTTAATGAAATAATTTACTAACTTTAAATATTATACAATTATAAAAAGTAGAATAATTTTAAATACCTCCTCATTTTTTTAAGTTTATTTATTGATTTCTTAGGTTTCATTCTTTATGTATTTTCTTGTTCTCCTCGCTTTGTTTTTTCTATCATATTGGGTTTTCCAATCTTATACTGTTCGATGATATTGCTCTAGGTTGTTAAGTTAATTGTATTGTTTCAGGTTGTAAAGTTAGTTGTATTGTCCAAATATTATAAAATTAATGTGCCAAATGCGTATTTTATTATTGCATCCATACCTTCATATTAACAAGAGTTCTCATAAAGAAGCTCCAGTCGTGGTTTTGAGACAAAAATATACTGCAACACACTTGTACATCGTATATGATAACTGGACTGCATTTTGGAATAAGCAAAAAATCGTCATTTCTGGTTTACTCATAAAAGCAACTATCTGCATAGGGAAACTAACAGCGCTAATGCCGTTTGAAAAAATGAGGCAAAAAGTGCAGCTCCTTGTTTAAAAATATAGTCCAACTGATCGAGATGAACTATATCGACTTCAAGCCAAGCTTGGCAATTGCTTAGTGATTCACAGTAATCTTGTGATAATCCTTGCACTAGTTCTATTAGACAGAGTTCAGCAAAGACTTAGGTTTAAGATTGGGGCGATGACAAAATTTATCAGGGTGCATAGTGTAGTTATTTTACTGGTTTTTTCGTTTCTGATTGATTGTCGATCAATCAGAACCGTTAAAACAAGTAAAGTAACTAAACTTTGATCTAAAAGTCAAGTCTAAGGGCAAGTTCAAGCCAATGGACCACTAGACAAGGTACGAAGGTAAGCATTCTGATATGTGATTTTTAACCAAAATTTCACATAAAATACAATTTGCACAACAAAAATTACTGCAATAAACTCCTGGCTAAGATATTCAATGTTTTTTGACGCGTGAATTCAAATCACCCGCTCATGAGAACGCAATGGTATGAATGCGTGAGTCAACTCGCACATGAAACGTTACCATAGCAGTCTCTGCGAAAAGAAAATAAATCAACCTTTAATATTGACGCTTTGGCTCAGCTACATCAAGTTGTTTCCATTTTGAGCAGTGAAGAATGTGGAATCTGCCTTGCTTAAAAAACCTGCCAAAACCTTTGTAAGGCTCGATTTGCCTCATTTATTGCGTTTATTGTAACCAGAAAATTCAAGTTTTCCGTAATCAATGTAAAATAAAAGCGTTGATATCCTAGCTAGAAGTTGATTTCAGTATTTTTTGATGCGAGAATCGTGTTCTAAGTGAAGCACGTTACTCTGGTTAATATTTCTGGTTAATGAGCATGTATTAGAATGCCTAAATTTGTACTTTGAGCAGTGGTCCATTAAAAGATTTCTAAATTTTGAATGAAAAATATGAAAAGAAAGAAGATCATGAGGGAACTATACGTGTAGAGTTATTGAGTAGAATCAAATAAGTTTTGCTCTACCATGTCTCCCGACTTTTTAGCCCTTCAAAAAGGAAAAATCTGACCTTTTTTTCTATATTTGTTCAAAATTTTACGCTTAATCAGATCCCAACATCGTTTTAGGCAGTTTTTGCCATTTAATATCAGACTTTTGGCCCTAAACAGCTGAAATGTCCTGTACCGTAGCCTGTATGCGACTCAAGTGCGCAACTTTAACGCTTCATAACATCATCTCGCATCTAAATACTTCCACTTCTGCTGTAAATTCACACTCAACTTGTACCTAACTTATTATTTTCAGTTATATTCATCCAAATAAGTGGAAATATTGACCGTCTTTGCGTCAAGCAGCCTTGTCTGCGGAATTCGCGTCCTGTACCGTAGCCCCCTTTTTTCAGCATCATTTCGTCCGTTAGAGTGCAGCACTTATGAACTTTGTTTACTTTTTTTGCGTTATCATGACTATCACACGCTGATGTCGAGCAGAGGAAAAAAAACGCAATGAAACAGTAAATTTTGACCGTTTTTTATGAGTTTCTAGGTTTAACGACCATCTAGGATGTCCTCACCGTATACCTACCTTTTTAATGCATAAATCACTTCAAACTCTCGAATTTTGGTATATTTTGATACGCTCTGATATCTTAACCTCAAATCCAGAATTTCAACCACATGCGTGAATATGCCAGAGCACCGTTGCCAATAATCACACGATTTGTCCGCACCGTAGCCCGTAGCCGTCCGGTACCGTAGCCCGTAGCTGACGCGCGATGCGGCCGGGTCTACGGTAAGCACGGACAAAATGCGAAAGTCATCCAAAAATCGGTGCGCTGTTTGATAGATCATCCCACTTTACTTTATTTTATCTATCACCAAAATTTGGAATTTTTAAAAAAAAGAGAGACGTATTTTTTTTTAGTACGACGCGACTTAGAAGAAGGAGGTTTTTTTTTCGATGATTGCATAAGGATCGCCATCTTTTTATTTTTTCATTTTTTCTTTTAGAACTTTGAGTCCTCTTTTTCGTCTGAAGTTCATAGCAATTTATTCGTTTATTATTTATTCGTTAATATCTAACTTATTTTTTTCTTATTGTCCTTATTTATAAAAGTGGCACTTATAAGCTATGCTATAACTTAGCAGTTTATTCCCCAATGAATTTCAGTTCTTTATAATTCGGCCCTTGCATACAGTAATATTTACGAATGCCTCTTCGTCCTTACCGTAGCCCGTTTGTCCGTACCGTAACATTATTGTCCTGTGCCGTAGACCAGTAAAAAATTGTACAATTTGTAGCTTTAAAAAAAGCAAACCTGTAGAAATTCTTTAAAAAAGTTATCTACCACATCTTCTAAGTTAGTTCTAAAGAAATTAATTAAAATTAAGCGTTTAATTACATTTCCTGGCTTTTTTAGGAGAAAAATGATGCCGCAAAATTCTAGAAATCGGACTTTAGAGCAATTTGGGGGCTAAATTTTGAAAGTAAAAACTTTGAAGGATATTTTGTTTAATTCTTCTACAAGAATATAGCTCTGTGAGTGCAAAAAAACTTAAAACGGTATTATTATCGCACGTATTGATAGGAAAACAAGCCTGTTTAGTTGGTCTACGGTACGGACAAAAAATTTAACTTCCAGTGATAAAAGAGGCCAAAAAAAAAATTCTGTTGAAAACGAAGATTGACCACTATTAAAATCGACTTTCCAAGAGTATGAGGATTTCAGAAAACATGCTGAAGTTTTAAAATAACTAAAGTCAAAAAAAGTCGTTTTTAAAAAACGATGGCTCCAAGAACAAAACTTATTTGATTCTACTCTATTATGCATTGTGCAGCACAGTTCCTATTGGCATATTACATCCAATTTTTTGTCGAGTCACCTCACAATCATTATAATTGATGTCCGCCAAATAATATGTCTTCTCTCGTGATATCGGGTGAAAACTTTTGATATTACAATATGAAACGTCCCGACTAAAGCATCCCTCCCTCCGCTACGATTTAGAAGCTGACGCTTTTTTCGTAAACGCTGTCCCAATCTCCAATATCGCTGAGTTTCGATGGGGATCACCAATTTGTTCAACTTGAACTTCGCGCTTGTTTCTGTCTGACAACTTTTGCTGACGTTTTAATCAAACGAGAAGTTTCAATTCCGTGATGACTTTTGTTCGGTGCGTTTGTTCTTTCTCGAAGTCTGAGGAGAACTGAGAGGAGTTTAAGCGGTGCAGTTTTTGCGATGAGAATATGAAACAGACTAGACTCAGCGATTTTATGGAGTCTAATCAGATGTTGCATTCGTGTCTTGTTTTTGCTTTGCTCGAGACTTTCTTCAGATAATGTTCAATTTTTATTAGTGATGTAAAAAATCAGCATGTTAAACCTCTCAGAAAGTGACCTAACCTAACTTCTATGCTTTTCTAATAAAGTTTCCAGAAAAAAATATGAGATTGCAGGGCTGAAAAGTTTATTCGTGTTAATTAATATAGAAAGTTTTTTTTCGCAAATGAATTAGCAACCTAAAGGGAAACTCTCAACCTTAAAATGAAGAATATACCTATCTGTTCTGAGTTAGGATAAGGACATTCAAGAAAATTGATCCTTGCAAATATGGCTATCAACAGATCCTTCAAGACCTGTCCGGCATAACTGAAGTTTCCACTGAATGTTCAGATACTCTTGATATCAATATTATATTTCAGGAGGATTTAACATAATATCAAGTTGAGCAGGTTGTAAAGTAAATTATTCAACGCATAAGAAACCTATTGTGTGGGGGTCTCTACAATATTTTGCTTCTGAGTAAAGTTTGTTAGAAAATAATTTTGCTTGCATAATTAAATTTTGAATATGAGCAATGCCTTCAAGAATCCTTATTCTACCCTCCAATCGAAGGTTTGTAATTTGGGATGTAAATAACCGTTGAACATTATTTTTTTCAAATATCATGATTAACAAGTGATTTCCGTTGCATTTCACTGGTCTCAAAATTACTGAGGAATGCTGAATGAAGTAGTTGACATAACACACGTTATAAAATGGACCTTGTTTGCCAAACGGATTACTCGACATCGATAATCTGCACGATGTTCCATTTTTTCATGTTGAGTTCCTAATGGTATGTCAGAGTTGACTCGAAAAAATTAAGGATGCATATTTGTTGGTTTTTTTGTAAAACAGTCACTTGTCGGCAACGAATTGAAAACATATTTAATAGGAACGGCGTTTTTAGTTTGGACGTAGATTAGCAAAGATTCTGAGACGAATAGAAATTTTGCATGTGTGAGGAATTTGCGATTTGACTATCGATTCATATGTGAAAGTTCACAAAAAACACGATGTTGCCGCTGGTTTTCTCTGAAATCAAGTCCCAAGCTCAAGAAAAGCTCTCAAGTTGAGGCCGAAATGGAGGGGATATCCCACGCTATCCTGAGAGTCCACTTCTACATCAAGACAAACTCTCAACAAACATAGGGAGCAAATACATTGACAGGGCTGCCACTCTATTTGGGACTCGAAAACTGAAAACACGACAACCCTGCTAATGTATTTTCTCCCTATCTCTGCATGGAGAGTTTCTCTTGATGTAGAGGTGGACTCTCAGGATAGCGTGGGATATCCCCTCCATTTTTGCCTCAACTTGAGAGCTTTTTTTGAGCTTGGGAGTTGATTTCAGAGAAAACCAGTGGCACCATCGTGTTCCTTGCGAACTTTTACATAAGAATCAACAGTCAAATCGCAAATTCCTCACACATGCAACATCTCCATTTTCAGGTGCACCTTCTAAAGTCCATGTCTGGGATGCGCCTTCCCGCGTGATAACTCCACACTGAAATTTCAGCGTCGAACCAACAGAATGCGTTCCCGGTAGTGGGGAATGAAGAGAATCTAGACACTTTCCTTCGAGCGCCTTCCGCTAGAGTGCGTTGTCGGTAGCAGGAGGTGATGAAAATGAAGGGGCCTTCGTCTCGTGCGCCCTCCGCTAGAGTTCGCTGGAGGTTGCGTTGCGCCCTCAAAGCTCCCGTGTTCTCGGAGGCTGCGCCGGGCTCCAAGCTGTGCTTAATAATCATCCGATGATGAAATAGCGGGAAACACCCTCAGTGTTGAGTGCGTCGAGACCTTGGCGGTTCGCGGATTTGTGGCGTTACCTCTGTCGCGGTCATGTTCAAAAGCTCTTAACTCACGCAGGTAAGAGCAGGAGTTTCTTCCATTTTACCTTTCAGCTTTTTCTATATATTTACCCTTTTATGATTTGGTATCAATTGGTTCGCGCGAAAAATTATTGTTTCCTTGCAAAATTTTGGAGGGTGCATGAAATGATGGTGAAAGCGTCTGTTACCCTCTGATAAAGCCGAATTTAATACATGGGATTTACGGTGAATTTTACGGCTGATTTAAAGTTATGCGTGGTGTGCTGAAGTGGAAATCTGACTTAATAATTCGGAGTAAAAAGGAAATGTCAGTTTTTAATTTTATTCAACCAACTGAAATTCAGTAGTCTATGAAAGGTTTTTGTATGTTTTTTTTTTCTCCTTTATGTCATACTTTTTCAAATGACCTTTTTATTTAAATGCCACAAAAGAGAAACCGAATGGATGAAATTGCCGGTTATGACATGAAATTATAAAAAAATTATAGATAAATTATATTTGCGTGTAAAATATGCGATTTACCCAATTTAGGATATAATTTCAATCTCAGTTTCATGTGTATGCGTGATTTTAGGAAGTGAAAAAATAAAAAAGCACTGCCAAAACATCTTCATGCTTAAAGGAAATACATTTTTTCTAATGTTTCCTCCTTATGAGCAGTGACGTGTCAATTTATACCAGTGAATTAAAACCACATCACAATCTGTTTAGTAGTATTTTTTGTTTGTTTTTTGTATCAGTTCAAAAACTTTTTTTTCAATAATTTTTTATTATTTTAATAGGAAAATTCCGAAACGTATTTAACTGGATTTTCCAGAACTCTAAAATACGAATTCATAAATCAACCCAAGATTAAGCCACGAGAAAAGTTTTTGGAGGTGTATTCCTTCATAAAATTGAATATTAGTTATCATATTTAATGCTTATATTCCCACTCAAGAATAAATTCACGAATTTCAAAGTTTCAGAGGACGAAACATTCAGCTACTTAACATTTAAAATTAAAACCGACTCTTTTTTAGGCAAAATGTGACTTGGCTCCTTTCCGCCTAACGCAGTTTATTTCATCTGGCAAATTCTCACGACTAGCGGTAAATAACAAAGCCAACTTGTGTAAATCCAATTCTACCATCCGTCCAACCAAAGTCCGGTTACAACTTTTAATTCATCTTGTTACCAGCGGTTCGTATCATTTCTCCTCAATTAAAGTCCGAAATTTAATTCAATCAGAATTGTTACGGTCCTTCACTAACAAGCAATAAACAATGTGTTCTGCTTTCAAGTTCCGTCAACTTTATTTGCTCGTAACATTCACGGAAGCTGCATTCCACGGACAAACAGTGAACGAAGCTCGATCGCAAAAAATTGTTTAGAAATTAACACAAGATTACTCCGCAGACTATCAAAATTTAAATGGTTCTACAATTTGGACCGCGTTAAACAGAAAGGAACCAAGCCGCATCAGCTATCGCCAAATTTAATTTGGCAATTACATTTTTTAAATGAAAATGGTTGTGCGAAATTTCGTGCAAATTTCAGTGGATTTTCTTCATAAAACGAAGCAAATTCCTTACAATTTTCGAAGGAATACACACAAACGTTTTTTCGTAAAAAATTAAATTGCCCAGTTGAATTTGGCAATAGCTAATGTGGTTTGGTTCCTTTCTGTTCAACGCGGTCCATTTGTGTGTAAAGATTTTTTTAAAAAACATTTTCCATGTGATATTTTGTCAACATTTGCCGGGAGAATCCGACTTTTCTGTACTTTTTTATAAAGAATACCTGGAATATTAGATAACAAATGGCAAAATAACAATTACAATCTAGGTTTTAACTTAACCGAACCTTCCTTTCTCGCAACTGACGCAATTGAACAAAATCAAAACTAACGTATCCTTAACTAATTTAAACCCATGTAGAGGTTGCAGATATTTTGACATAGCGAGGGCTAAAAAACAATACCATCTAACTGACAAATTTGGCAAAAATGAGGTAGCGTCTTTAACGCATCCTGCAGTGTAAAATACGTACCTGATGATTTTAGTTTTTCTTCCCAGTTCTGTGGGGGAGCGCTGCAATAACTCTGTAATGTAAGGAAAAACAGGAAACCTAGCCTCAAAATTACAAAAATGTCAATATTCTCTCTTCGTGCTGCAAAATTGTCAGTTTGCAGATAGGCGCTATCGTTACCCAAAATAATAACAAACAAAATATGAAAATATAGCAAAGGAAGCTTGGAGCCAAGCAGGAGCTCAATGTTAACGGCGCAGGGATACAACTATTCGTACTTGATGGATGTCAATGTTGCGTCTGCAAAATTGAAGGGGCGATGGCTCGAAGCGCGTGAACTCGCAATGGCCCGCTCTATACGGCTAGTTAGGTTATTGTTCATTATCCATCGATGTACTTCATATCTTGATTTTACTCTTTCTTGACCTTGTAATAATTTTCACCACTTCGATGCCTCACCCGTGTATTGCTTAGATTGTATTGCGGGGTCTCTAGAACAGATTGTTTCCGGACGAAACGCCCAAAATTCGTCATATTTCTATACATAAAACGGCAAAGTTAGCCATCAATTTGCTTCATCTCTTAATTTTATCAATCTTAACATTGTAATAATTGGACCGCGTTAAACAGAAGGGAACCAAGCCACATCGGCTATTACCAAACTGGGCAATTTAATATTTTACATGAAAACGGCAGTGCGGATTTTTGTGCAAATTTCAATACATTTTCTGCGTAGTCCGAAGCAAATTCCTGAAAATTTTCAAAAGAATCCGGAAATTAGTACACTTATAAAAAGAATAAAATGTTTCAGTTAAATTTGGCAAAAGCTGATGTGGATTAGATTCTCTCTACTCAGCACGGTCCATATTGTCTCCGGATGAAACACCCCGAAATCGTCATTTTTTTTATGCAGAAAACGGCAACGTTAGTCGGAAATGGGTTTGACCGACAGTCGCTTAATATTTGACGACTACCAGCATTACGCATTCGACTCTTGAGAGCCTTTCACCTGTGTCTCCGCCACTTCCCTTTCTCTCGCTTCACCCCCTTTTCCCCTCGCCTCGCCTCCACCCCATGTTTTATTTAGCAACACTTGTGCCCACATTATCCTTTCGCGCACAATAACTGCACTGCCAAGCTAAGGAAGAACGCCGTATGAACCAACAAACGTTGTCAAATCGAAGGCGAAGGAACAACACCACCTATCTTTAAAACCAACGATTTATCAGAGCAAAGAGGAAACCTTGCCATTTTTGTAATTTTGAGGTTAAATTTCCAATTATTTTATATATATTTTTATATGATACGGCGCACAGTTGATTGAGTCAGTAGAAAAGGTTGGAAAAATTCATGGAACCTTTAAACGTTTTTAACTCTGTTTATACAAACTTCGGGGCTCTAAAAGTGGTTCTATTGGTTTCCTCGTGAAATTTTCTTCACAAGCGCTCTTTAAAATATAAAATGTGACGGAATAAACATCAAAATTTGCTGTTTTAGTCCAGAAACCAACGGAAACTCTAGACTAAAATGTGGATGAAATTCCACGAAAAAAGAAGAAAAAATTATGCATTAATTCTCAAGAAAATTCAGTCTATGTTGGCGGAAATTTGGCCACATTTGAAAACTCATACCGCATACGACGTTTTTCCTCCGTACGGCAGATCTCGGCGCCGAAAGGGCTCGTAGGAGGAACGATCAAAGGCTGCTCCGTCGTATACATCCAAGTCTTCGTTGCCTTTTAACGACACGTCCACCTATTCAGGGTTTTTTTTCTCCGTCTACACATATGTGACATAGGTGTGTATAGAGTGAAAAGGACCTGAGCCCATGAGGCAATATCTTCAAAAGATATTGCAAATTTTGCCGAGTCGGGCCCAAAAAATTGGATCCTCGATCGAAAACATTCTCTGGTGTCCTGAAGAATAAGTTTTGAGTCGTATAGGCTAAATTTCGTCGGCTCTCAGACATGAGGGCGTATCTCAATATCCACGTGATCCTGACTTACGTATAAACCCATTCTTTCTGGGGCTCATGCAGAGATCAAGAGACGCCCTCACTTCAGAGGGGCAACACTGCAAAAAAATTCTCGGCGTTTTTACCAAAGTCCGTTGGTACCTTTACCATCTCACTTTTTTTTACCAATTTTTGGTAATTTTACCGAGACAGACTGGTAAGCTTACCTAAAAACCGGTATTTTTACTGTTTTTTTTTTTCAGGTAAGAATACCACTTTTATTGGTAATCAATTCCCGGTAACTTTGCCATTTTATCTCGGTAATTCTACCGCAGTTGATAAAAAATATTGGCGTTTTTACCAAGGTCCAGTAAAATTACCGAGAAAGTCAATAATTTTACCAAGATTTCTCGGTAAAATTACTAATTTCATAAATGGAAATTTTACCAAGAAAAAACTGGGATCAAATAGAACCCTGAATTCTTGGTAATTTTACCCTTTTCTTAGTAAATACACCGAGATTTTTTTTTCAGTGCACGTGAATCCTGTCTTACATATAAACCCATTCTTTCTGGGGCTCATGCAGAGATCAAGAGACGCCCTCACTTCAGAGGGGCAACGATTTGTGCCAACAGAGAGCGTAAACTAGTATTCTACTCCGACCTTTTTAATGCTTTGAACATTACAGATTGGAATTTAAATACTCATTTTTCTCTAAATTTATATTTGTTTTCACTAGAGACTTCCAGTTTCTGTGACTCTGGCTCAGTTTGATAACTTCGGGCGTTTACAGTCCCAATACGTTCAGAGTGAACTGCTGCGTATACGGTTTTTGAATCACTAACTTTATTTTTTTATACGGACTAATGGTTTTCCGTTGTCCGTTATAAATGTCTGAGTTACATTGATTTTACTTTTCACTAAAAAAAAATGTTGAATTCACCCCCTTTTCGCACATTTTAAAAATGAACGTGGTGCCCGACACAAAAAAGATAAATCATTTGATAGTGCAGAAATAGTAGATGAAATGTCTGTTATCGAGAATTAAAATTAGATTCACGTTAATGGGTCGTG